TTTAAACTATATATTTAAATATAAATGAACTAAAAATGTATGTTGATTTTATTTAATTTCGCTAAAACTTTTTTTATTAATTTTATTTGTTTTAGCTGTCAGTCTATTAAAACATATTGTTATGTAAATAAAAATAACAATGAACAATTTATTTAATATTTATTCATGCACACAACGTACAACATGAGATTTAAAATTTTGTTCAATAAATGAAAACAATGATAATATTATTTATTTGCATTTTAATTGGAATTCGTACGAATACATTTAATTAATTAACATAAATAGGTATATCGTTAACAGTTAACGTTTATTCGTTTTGTAAAAGCTACAGTCAAATGTAAATATATTTCATTAATTATAATTGGAGAACATTATTTTTAATTGAAAATATTTTATTTTAATTATTTTATTATTTAAACAACGTAATTTCATTATTATACGGAGTGTTTTACAGCAATGTTAATTTATTTTGCAAACAGAATATACATTCGATTTTTTTTGACATGAGAAAGCAAATATTAGTGCAAATTTGGGTGGGTGTAGGGGTTATCTGTCATTTCTATTAGATACTGATATTTATTTCCTTAGTGAGTATTGTGATATGTATCTTGGGTTTGGAGAATGCTTAGAAAATGCAAGTGTGTATGCGTTATAAATTGTTAAAGAATAAGTTTGGAATTCACTCCACCCTTTTAGATCTGGCAACCCTGTGTCTTGACCACTGTAAGGTAGGCAACCTATGATAATGCACCTAAATATTAGACTCCAAAGTTTATGTTGAAATTACATTTTTGTATTTGCAATGGACTACTAAATTAACTTGTTTTAATGAGGTTAAAATGAAGTTAAAAAGTTTAAATAAACATGCATTAAGAAGGTACCAAATTAGTAAGTCTAACCAAAATTTTCATGAAACTTGTTAATTTAATTTGAAAGAGGCTAAGTATTACTTTGACGAGATTTTGTACGGTATTATAAATTTTAATATGACCTGAATTGCTTCATAAACTTTTAAGTTTTAATACTGAAAACGTAGCTTAAAGACTTATGGCATTGTATGATATGTTTAAAACTAATTTGAAAACAAGGCTACGATCAAAATGCCGTCAAAATTTGATGGGTTTTGAATAAAAGACGGCAGCTTTCATATTTCGCAGGTATAAAGTTGCCAAACTTCAATTCCGGCTATAAAAGAAGTTTGTCATTTGAATGCGAACGAGAAATAATGAAAGTTTGGCAATAAAAGACTCTGATCTGTATGGCAAGTCGGTTTGGCGCGTATTTTCCACCTGCCGCCAGGCCATATTGATTTTGAATACCCCGAAGCCTTTAATATTTAAGTCGTTTTGTTGTGAGCGGTTAAAAAATGTTTTGTTTCCCTAGTTCCGACAACTTTTATTTGTTCAGTCCAGTTTGGGGTTTTTAACATCTCTGCCATGAATATTAATTTTATATTTTTACTATTTCAAATACAGCTTGTCTTGTTTTAATGCGTGAATAATATATGTTATACACTGTTTAAAAAATCTGTGGTGTGAAGAGTAATCTTAAAATGGTGTCAAAATCCAACACCAAGCGGTGTTAATATAACACCATGAATTATGGTTGAAAATGTTTTATACAGCAAACACCAAAACGGTGTTTATCTAAAAATATTTGAGAAGTGCACCTACACAGAAAAAGCGGAATAGTTCATTTAACTATATTAATTTAGTTGACCCATAAGTATTTATTTAAATCAACTGTGGGAAGGTTAATATAAACCAAGATTAGTTTGACGGTACTAAACCAGATAGTAATTTTATTTTTTTTAAATTGGTTAAATTAACCCAGAAAACTTTAGTGAAACCAACCCGCTGTATGGTTCAGTTTACTAAATATGTTGTTTGTAAAATAAGAGTTACTTTAACCCAAAGCACTCTGTTAAAACGATTAAAACAATTTGCCGTGCATTCCTTGTTGCATAGTGTGTACCTATCGCGGCAAAGGCGGTGTGGATCACGTGATGTTCTTTAATCTCGCCTCTGTTGACTTACATGAAGAGTATATAAGCTCAGGTAGTACTTTGCTTTGGTGTGACACTACAAGTTGTTTGATACTAAAGAGACCTTAAATAGGTGGAAACAGCTGTCAATACTTGAATTATTTTAAGTTAGTGGAACGCACTAAAAACATTATCTCTAGCGAGTTGAAGGTTCAATTTTCTGGAATAATACCATGGTACCATGGTAATATACTGGTAATATACTTGTAATGTGTCAAGGAACTTCCTGTTTCCTTTTTTCCTTTTTTTCTGTGTAGTATGATTTAATTTAACCAAAAACACATTATATTTAACACTGAAAAGGAGTTCAATTTACACCAGGTAAAATGTATTTTAATACTGTGTGAAATTTAAATTTACACCATTTTAGTATTTCAATTTACACTGGACCAACGAACCATATTTAACACCATTTTGGTTTGTATCGATATAGACCATGTATGGTGTTAATTTGGTCATGAAATTTTGAACAGTGTACCTGCTGTTATCTATAAATACTAAATTTCGAATATAGTTGTTCAACGGGTCGCTGATAACACGTTTATGTTCATTAACATTAACGTTATTATTCATTTAAATAGTAAAATATAAGTATTTTTTTTTCTTCTACCTTTAAAATTGTACATGTTTCCATGACACTAAGTGACCTTTTAAATACACATTAACAAGTTGTGGCTTTATTGCGCTTTAGTGACGGGCTGAAGTTAGCAACTGGATTTTAGTCACGGGCTAGTTAATTTTTCAATTTGCTCGTGTTTAGCAAAAGTTATTGCATTTGTACAGAGGGTGAAATGTAGGTCACCGGACCTTAATGTTAGGGGATTTGGAGGAATGGTAATGATATTTTACTATGAACTTCCCTAGTGCGCAAGGAATATTATTAAATTCATTTGGGATCCTACTTTTCCAACTTAAAAGTATTTTGCATACAGGAAACTGGGAAAGTTTTAATGCTTATAAATATGTAGTTGTTTTAGTTTTAAATTAAAATTTTAAATTAGTTTTATTACCTACTGTGAATTTCTAGTTCAATAGTTAGGTTTATATGATAATTTGATATTTTATATAATATCAAATTATACATCATAAATGAATTTATATGTCAAAAACAAGATTTAAAAGTACATAACTTAGCATATGTATGCTGCGTACAGTACCCTAATTAAATAAACCAAAATAAATTACACACATTAGTAAACTTTATAAAATAAACGTTTATAAAGTTTATAAACGAGGTGCATACTATACTTTTTCTACGACAAATACCTATTATTATCTTAAAATTATTTAATTCAAAAATTTGTATAGAGCGCCATCTATGAAACCATAGAGGAATCTGTGTGTCACCGTCAAATGTCAAATTTAGTTACTTTATAAACACAGATTATAAAGGTTATAAACCGAAATGTATTTCTTGAAAATTGACAGTTTTTCACTGTGAAAGTAAAGAAAATGTTTTATTAGCACTTTACAGTGGAGTCCGTGCCTGAATTTAAGTTATAGTTTACTGCCGGCGAAATTAAAAGGTTAGTACAATGTTCATATAAACTTTTCAAATATTGGCGTTTAGAAACTATTTCATACTTTTGTATTTTTGTATTGAGATAATAAAATAATTTTCATTTAGTATTATTTTACAAGAAAGGCACTTTATTTTAAGGATTGTATGACATTTGACAACTGTCAACTAACTTAAAACTAACTTCAGCCCGTGACTAAAATCCTGTTGCTATCTTCAGCCCGTGACTAAAGCGCCATAAAGCCACAACTTGTCAATGTGTATTTAAAAGGTCACTTAGTGTCATGAAAACATGTACTATAAAGGGCGTTTTAAAGGTTTAAAATAAAAATTAAATGGTCCGAGGGGGTAAATCAATCAATACTAGAATTAGTCCTCATACTCTCCTCCTTAAAGGGGTAAAAGGAGGTAACTTTAAAATTTCCAATGGAACACCCTATATTTTATTGCAGATTCGATCATTCTACTAAAAATAGGTAGATTTTGTCTAAAACATTCTTTCATATTTGTAATGGATGGCGCTGCAGCGCGCTGTAATAAAAAAAATCAATTTTGTTCGATTTTTCTTCTGTATACCAATCTCCAATAATTTTTGAATAAAATACTTGGTTTTATTTTATTTATTTTGTTTTAATATTCTGCTAACACTGCTCTGGGATATTTCCAAATCTCTAGATAATTCTCGTGTGCTTGCATGAGGATTAGCGGCCGTTGCTGCTAATACATTAATTTTATTATTTCCACCTGTGACTGTTGATCGACGAACTTTTTTTTTTTCGGTTGAACACTCCCGTTTGTAGTAAACTGCTTGACTGTACGGTGAAATGAAGTACGTGATCGAATTTTATCCGGAAAACGCTGAGCGTAGATATTAACAGCATGCTGCATAATCAAGATTCCTGCCTGCTTCTCCATAAATCAAAATCATTTCTATTTTTTCTTCCACTGTCAAAAAATTCATTATGAATAACTGCTTAACGAAAGGAGGTCTTTTTGTTTGCAAAACTAAATTGATTAAATAATGCTAAACTATAAATAGTTTCTTTATACCTCAATATTACAAATTACTACATAGAGTCCTTTGAAATAATCCCCTTTCCTCGCAATATACTGCCCGAAACTTTTTAACTGCAAGGGGTGTTTATTTAACAAATATTTTTATAAAATATACATAATTGTTTAAAATGTTTTTCAATTATAATAAAATAACAATGAACACGTTTATAAAATTGAAAATTATACTGCTTTTAAATAGAACAAGGGTTATTAAAATATAATCAACATAATGTTAAGGAACTTTTCGAAAACAAAATAAAATCAAGTAATACAAAGCAGAACTTTTAATGCTTCACGAAATATTTGGGTAAGCGAAGCGATTTCGCTCGTCCTTCCTGCATAATTCAGTTTTGGGACAATACACATAAAGACACTTACCTATAATGGATAAAATGGATCTGAAATTCCTGGTGGGTGATTTGGTGTAATCAATTCGGCACCTGTATTGACCCGCGTCTTTTTCGGTGACGCTGTCGATGCTAAGTGTAGCCGGCTCCGTCATTGTCCTGAAAAAGACTCGCGTGCCCAAAACGCCTTCCTGCCAGTGTTTTGCCAGCGTTGCGTGAGCGCCTCGAATGTCGTAGCTGGAACAAACGCGTTTTGAGTTAGCTTAGTAATGGATAATTTGTTTGTTTTTTTTTAATTTTTTTTGACATCAAATATTTACGCCGAAGAGTAACCAGTACAGTGCACGGATTTTTTTTCTAAATGTAACAATACCTTTATTCTTAAAAAAATCACTTGATTTAGGTATAATTTGCTTAGGCTACGCATACATTAAATTTCTTTTAAATATTAACCTTTCCTTAAAAATTCCAAGATTAGTAAATATTGGTACGACTGGCCTATTTTTAAAAATATCCCCCACTCACTAAAGTGTTCGACATTTTGGAAGATTGTTTCTTGTGTTAGTTAATATTTGGTTTGGAATTATGAAAGAGCTACTAAATTAGTGGAATTTGATAGAATTAACCACCAAATGTATGTGTAGGTTATAATTATTACATAATTATATTTATCTCCACGCGGTCTATAATTTAAACTTTATTGTGGTCAACATTCGATAAAGAAATACCTTTTTATGGCCTAGGCCGATAAAAAATTTTATGAGGCAAGTAATTAGTTCGATTTTTTCTCGCTAGGGGTATTGTTTTGACAAATTAATCCTTTTCTAAGAAATTAACGTAATAAACTGGTTTAATTTATTTATAATAAGCACTAATTTGTTTGATTTACTGTTAATGTTTAATATTTTTCATTAAATTATTGTAAAATTAAATATGAATAATAAAACAAAAAGTGAGGTTAGGCAACCAAGAAAACGCACTATTCTTTTTCTACGATTTAAATTATCTTTAAGTTTTAATTTGCTTTAAGTTTTCAGTGAAATTAAATGTCAAACACAGCTTAAACATTCCAAACTACCTATTTTTTAAATAAAAATCCAAACAAATTGAAATTAAACAATTAATTAAATTCAATGTAATAGCAAAAATCCATTTCTACTTAAATCATGTAGCTAGGTATTGTCAAACTATTACTGCTTCTAAAAGCAATAATAATTATTGTACATTTAATGTAATCTTTAGCTAATAAATAAATGGGATTCTAAAAAAGTGAGGTTAGGCCGCTTTGATGTTGAATTAAATTGACCTATATAAAGTGCTTTGAAGATAAAATGTTGTATGCCATTCGGCCAAGAAGTGCCTGTTTATGCTTCGCTCAATTGTAGGCCTCCGCTAAGCGTCGGCGTTCAAACCTTGAGATTAGCAGAAAAAGCCCTACTTCTTAACCTAATGACATAAATGTTATTATTAAATTATGTGTGTAGTATTATATATTAAATTTAAGATGTTGGAGTGATGTTTGTCTCGCAAACAAAATGTAGTAAAGACAATACTAAAGACCAATCATTTTTTTTAGGTTAAGTTTACCAACAATATTGTTTATTCTTTACTTAAAAGGAAAATAGTGGATTATCCTAACTATTTTTCTCTATCAGAAAAAAAGAGAGCATAATCCACTTAAAATAAACACGCTCATTATATCCCAACCTTTATTTAAAGTCGAGCAAAACTTGGAATAGACAATATTTGAAACAATTATTGCCTAACTTACATAAAGATACCTTATATTTAATCCAAAAGTAAATATTGTATCGCCAAGTATTATAACATTTGTTTCAAAAAATACTTATTCTTAAATTAAGCATAGTATATATTTTATTGCATTTAAATATTATAATAGTTTTTATTGAAATAAGAATAAGTTTACCCTTGCACCTAACATTGAAATTATATCCAAATAAGTATAAAAATTTTACTATTTCATTCAACCAATTCTTAGCGATTAAATCAAATTAGGATAATTTTTTTAATTTAAACAATTACTTTATGTAAGATCATTATTTTAACTATCAAATGAACAAATAAACTTTGACAAACTCTGACTATTGCTTCGACACCAAAATATAAATTAATCCAATAGGTTTTGTGTTGAAACAAAATTTTCAAAAATAACATTTAGGCAAATGTTAAGTCAACTAAAGTATATTTTTCTCGGTGTACGACAATACTTAATATTATCTTAAAAATGATATAATAGTATATTAAAGAACTTTTAATAGACGAGTGCCACAAAAGGTCTTATGACATGAGTTCTTTATACTATTTTATTTATTTTGCATAAATTCTCTAAAAACTAATTTTATACCTTATTTTTAATTTGGTCGAATTTTACTTTAGTTAGTTGGTATCACAGTCATTAGTTTGACAGTTAATGTCAAAATCGATTCGCCATGCCGTCCTTAATTTACTTATTTACAATACCTAAGCTGTTAATGTTAAAGAAGAAAAAAATAATTTTCTTTGGTTTTTATTGCCAAAAAAGTCTCGTACTAGAAAAATCATAATAATTTTTTAACCAATATGCAAAATATTATGCTGTTTAAAGTATAGCCAACCTATAAAATCTTAATTTTGGGTGGGATAAAGTATCTCATTACAGCACCGAAAGCGGTGTTATAATGAAGTCATTATGAACGCAAAATTAAATTAAATTAAAATTTAAAGCATTTTATAAAAATTAAAATGATAAATAATAAAATAGTTATTGGGCATATCAATAAAGTGATTGGCCGGTAAATCGACAGGGACCGGCCTAAATTTTATAATTTAATTAAAAACACTAAAAGTTTGCATAAAAAATCCATGAGAAAATCTTTGGTTGTTGGCCAGTAAATCAATAGTGATTGACCTATATTTCATTACCTACTTAAGTTATTAAAAAATATAAAAATTGTTATAAAAAGCAAATATTCGTTAATATTATAAAAATATACAATTTAAAAAAGTGGTAAAGAATGATGTTTTTAAAATCAAACATCAACGTCAAAGTTTAACATTATTTTTTAATTTAATAATAAAAAACAAACCTTTTTACAATTTTTTAATTAAAATGACAAAAATTTTACATTTTCAACTTTAAAATATCATATATTGATAAAATAAAAATTTTAATACAAAAATTATTTTGTTATAATAATTAAAATGTACATATATATAATATATAATATATGATGTTTGATTTTCGTCACAAAGTTTAATTCTCACTCATTAAATGAGTCTCTAGAAAAGTTTATAAACGAGTTGCCTGCAGTTTTTTACAGTAAAGGAGAAGAGAATGTTTTATGAGCACTGTACGCAAATTTTTTAACGCTCTACCAGTTAAATCTAGTTAACTGTACTACAACGGCGAAATCAAAGGGTCAGTACAAACGTTCATATAATCTTTTCAAATATTGTATGACATTTGACAACTGTCAACTAACTTAATTTCAGCCCGTGACTAAAACCTGTTGCTTACTCCGGCCCGTGACTAAAGCGCCATAAAGGCACATCTTTTCAATGTGTATTTAAAAGGTAACTTAACACTTGGTTGGTACAACTTCGTTTGGAACAACTTCTACTTGATTCCTTTCTTTCTAATTCTTATTTTGACTAGTTTTTCGATACAGCCATTTACAAGGCCAAAAAGCTTTTTGATGATGTTTGTAAAAATAAAAAGTTTTATTAAACGTTTCAAAATATTGTTTTACTTGCAATTGGTAATATATAAAGGCAGAACGAGTCGAATGGCTTAATGGCGATCAGAGTTGATCGCCATGACTAGTGGCGGGCTAGCGATTGATTTAATGCGTGTTTTGTGTATAAAATTCAGCGATGCGAACATAACACCGACGGTGGCTTCGGTTTATAAAATTGCCTCCAACGAGAACTGTAATAATTACCCCCTGGAGGGTAACAGCCACAGTCCGGTCACTTCCCATTCGGACCAATTTTAGCCCCTGCCCGCCTCTTCAAATCGATATGTTCCAATTTTCGATTTATTTTAATTTGCTTTCCCCGGATTGCGAATCCCCATCAACGAAAGGGTTACTTTTATTTGTTTATTGCAGCAATTTTAACTAAGCCCGACGATTATTCACTTTTTATCCCGCTACATCGTGCCATATCGATGGTTATTTGACGAAACATCGTAAGCGACAATTTTGTTGAATTACCTTTTATTTTATCAAAGTGTCAGTTACGATAAGCTGCACATGTTAATATAATACTTATCCCAATTTTGGAATCCAATATTGGTCAGTTTGAATATTTTTATTATTGTAAGCGCCTCTTCTTTTTAATTTGTTACCGATTTATAACGTAAGCGCCTATATGTGCCCGACAAATAATCGTAAGCAACTCCGAGACATGGCGTTTGCGATTTAACATTGTGTCACTTACGATAATATTGTGCTCCCGCCTTGATCTATCAAGGCGTTATTCCCGCTCTAAACAGTTTATTCGTGAGTATACATGCATCTTGGTGATTGCTACCAAGTTTTAAAACAATATTTTTTTGATCAAAAGCTTATAATTCCTTTTTTTTTTTCATTGCATTATTTATAGTTATCCTAATTATAATTGTTTTTACGTAGTGTGGTTCGTTAAAAGTGTTTTTTGTAGTAATTGTATGTTGTTCTAGCGTCAAATAATTTGACTCAAATTTATAAACGGTTAGATCATGGTACCATGGGATAGATCATGGAGCCTACACAAGTCCGAACATTCTGAAACAATTGTTTAATTTCAGCGCCGCTGGTGGTGAAAAAAAGAAACTTAATTTGTACAGTTTAGAGGGCAGGTTTTGTTAATTTTCCCTATTAAGTTCGGGCTCATTGTGTAGGCTCCATGGGTTAGATACTGGTTTGTGAATAAAAATCGTTTTTTTTTTTCAAAGAAAGCTAATGTGGAATTTCATTTTTAAACATTGTTTGGCAAAATATAGTTGGTGATATTTTATAAATTATTTTTTTTTGTAATTTTTTTTTATTTAATAATAAAAGTAAAAAAATAAATGTTGCTAACGATGTTTTGACAAAAGTAATCATCAAATCTATATCCCACAATGTAACCTATATGTAACTTAAGCAACAAGACTAATTTTACATTTTCCTAAAGATTTTCTTATAAAATATCGTATGCCACAAAATTTAATGAAAATTTTAGATTGGATTCGATCTTACTTAAATATTTGAATTATACATTAATAAAATAA